TCTTCTTGATTCTAGGTCTAATGCTCTATCCGCTGTCCTGCCTTAGGAAATGACAGTAGAACTCGAGTCAGAAAACCTGGGCTCTGCTATTGACTACCCACAGGGCCTTACTTAACGTCCTTGGACTAAGTGGGTTCTGCCTTTAAATCTATGATCCCATATAATTTAAATAGTGTTTTAAGGTCAACAAAGCATCGAATATCAATTCTTTCCCTTGTTCCATCCCAGTGAGACAGGTAGAAATTATTATTATCCCTGTTTTAACAGCAACAGCTTCCACTGCTACATTTCTAACAAGGCCTAAGAGGCAGCTAGGTGGTTCAGTGGATAGAACACTGGGCCAGGAGTCGGGGGACCTGAGCTCAAATCCAACCTCTGGTATTTACTAGCTATGTGGCCCTGGGCAAGTCACTTAACCCTATCTGCCTCCATTTCCTCACCTGTAAAATGAGCCAGAGAAAGGAATGGCAAACCATACCAGTATCTTTCCAAGAAAACCCTAAATGGGGTCACAAAGAGTCAGATATGATTGAACTATTCATTTTATAGAGGAACACAATGGGACCCAGTGAGATTACATGGGTCCCCAGAGAGCCCCTCCCCAAGGCTGCCACCAGCCTCCTCTCCCTTCCTTCCTGGCCCAGTCTTACCCCAAGCCTTGCCTGATGGGCCCAGTCTGAAGGGCTCTGGCTCTCTCCCTGGACTCTCCGCCCCTCCCTAACCCACCTGGCTCATCCTGCCTTGGTTACAGGTGTGGCTGCTCCCTGAAGGCAGAGCCCTGCTCATCCTTCTCCAAGTTCTCATAAGCTGTAGACACTTCATCAAAATACTATGGAATTGAATTGACTGAAATGCTATTGTTGAGAATACTGCAAGGCCCTCAGATTTTATCAGGGTGAACTGTAGGAATATTTCAGGCCCTCAGATTTCAGCAGGCTGGGACCCTCTGTCCCTGCAAGGTCACTAATCAGACCTCTCCAAAACCAGCCGGAGTTGGCTTTCAGGGCTTGCCAGGACCCAAACAGTCCATGCCCACTGTGGACCGCCCGCTGCAAGACTGTGATCTGCTCCAGGCCGGTCCTTGGACAGCAGACGCACAGTCTGTCACCAGGCCTGGCCCTGGAACTTGCCTTCCAGCTAGCACAGCCTTCAGCGAGCCAAGGCCACCTCCCAGGGGATTGCCAGACGGCCTCAGAGGGCTCAGTCAAGGATGGGGCCATGGGGTGGGATGGAAGCCAGTGCACAGACGTCCCCCCTCTGCCACCTCCCTTAACCTGAAGTGGGTATTTACAGGGCCCGGAGCTGCCCAAGGCCCTTTCTAAATCACACAAGTACAGCATAAGACACCAAGGAGAGAATCCTGGAATCTCACCTGGCCAGGGGCTGCAGAGGCCATGTAGGGCAACCTGTACCTGAGAAGGATTCGCTCCAGGACATCCCCAAGGAGTCCCAGTCTAGCGATGGACTGAAAACCTCTGAGAAGGACAAACTGGCCATTTTCATGGTGGCCCAGGCCCCCTTAGCCTCCTTCGGCTCCGGAGCTCCTGCTACCGTGCCCTGGACCCTGCTGGGCGAAAGCCTCTCAGGGCCCACTCTATCTAACCAGCTTCCTCAGCTTCCCCAGCTTCCCCAGCTTACGCTCCCTTCCATACAAACTCTCTGGCTGATCGGTAGCAGTTTCCTGAAGTCTCTCCAATAAAACGGGAGCTCCTGGAGCACAGGAATTGTGTTTGCGCTTCCTCTGTGCTTAGCCCAGAGTCTGAGGTTGCTCATCCACCTCTGGGGTCCACCCAACCCCTACCCGGATCTCCAAGAAGCTGCAGCAGGTGGAGTGGCCATACCCCAGTGAACTGTCCAGGCAGGCGGGCTAAGCCAGGCTGAGGTTAACTGAGGGGTCTCCAACCTGTCAGTGAGTTAGGGTTGTCCACCCCAAGCACAGGAAGCCTTCCCCTGGTGGAATGGGTGGGGGAGAACAACTTGTTCTAAAGGCCCCCTGAAGGTGAAGGCAAAGGCGGCTGAAGCAGGCAATGTGGAGGGCTGAGAGCATAGCAACGCACCAAAGACACCAAAGTCATTCACTGCATCCTGAGTCATGGTCAGTTGTCTTGATTTTTCTCTTGACTAAGGCTCAGTATCTCAGTTTATGAAACAGGGACTTAGACTATATCATCCCTGAGCCACCTTCTGGCCTCACACCACCCCCCAGTTCAAGGACCTCCATTAATACCCTCTTGCCTCTGGTATCAAATACAAACTCTTCTGTTTGGCTTGTAAAGCCCTCCACAATCTGGCCTGGATTGCTAGAAGTTACTCTGGTTCATTCCAACCGATCTGGTTTGCTTGCTTTTCTTCACGAAAGAATGACAAAATATTGACTAAACCCTTACTAAGCAAGGCCCTGGAGATCCAAATGGAAAAGCAGACAGAGCCCAGACTTACCAGGAGCTCACGTTCTAGTGGGGGAAACTCTACTCTGGGAAGTTTCAGCTACAAGCTAGATGGAAGGGTCCCGTGGTCCTTAGGGCGCAGCTTTGATCCCTGTTAAAAGGCAAACGAACATCTTAAGTTGTTCCTAGTCATTTCTACTATAGTTTGAATGAAGAGTCTGAGTCCTGCTTTGATGACAAGTAGGATGGGAGGGGAAAAGAAATGGGGGGGGGGTGAGGTTTGTACATCAGTCTCTTTGACCCTAAGTTACGTGATTAGCTCAGGAGGAATTACAATCTTGAGCCCAAGATGCATGTAAAGACTCTTCTAGAGAGTTCTGGCCAAAGTGACTGCTCTGTGAACTGCTAAATGGAGGAGATGGTAGGTTGCAGAACTTCTGGGAAATGCAAACTTCTGGGGAGAGTGTGTGTGCGGTGGGGGGGGGGGGCCGTGTCACAGAGTGCAGGGTAGAGTTCACCCTCTCAGGGGCCAGAATCACCATCGTGTCTGGCGTGTTCTCCTTTTTCACCTCATTACCATCTTCTTTGGTACCTCAGCTCAGGTACTAATCGGTCAAATAGGATACAAAGACAGGCAAAAGACAGTTTCAGTGCTCAGTCAGTTAGTAGAGACAATGTGCAAACTACTATGTACAAAAGAGGTTTCCTACTCAGATAAATCACTAGAGGGAAGGCGCCAGCATGAAGGGGAATGGGAAACGCTTTTCATAGAAGATAGGACTTGAAGCCAGAAGACAGAGAAGAGGAGCCAGAGCATCCCAGGCAGGCCAAGTGCACAGAACCTCTCCAGATGACACTTGTGCGGTGGAGATATTGGGAGGGGGATATTCCTGGCCTCAGTCACTAACTTCAGGAACAAGAACCTGCTGAAGGGGAGGGACTGAGGAACTAGCGGGTTTAGCTCAGGTAGATGATTTGGCATCAACCATCAGAGTGTGGGCAATGGAACAAGAACCCTGGATCAGGCAGAACAAAGTCCTTCATCCGTGGCACAAAGGGCGGGATGCTTGTAAGGACTTTATAACTTGTCACGAGACGAGGCAAAGTAGGAAAGACAAGAATGACGGTTGTCTCTGGGGCACAGAAGAAGATTTCCATCCTCTGTGGGAGATTGCAATAAGGACAGAAGGGGTAAATGTGGCAGGCAATGTGGAACTATCTGGGCACTCCCACTCTGAGATCAGGGTTTTCAAAGAGGTGATAGGGAGGATTAGCAGAGGGAGGCAGAGGTTGACCCTCCTGACAATCCTTTCCAGACCTGTTTTTTGGTTGTTATTGTTGTTGTTTTGGTTTGGTTTTTTTAGCGGAGTCATGGGGTGTAGTGGGTGACATGAGGCAGAGTGTTCCTCTGCTTGGAAAAGTGCATTTGTTAATCCAGCTTTGAATCTGTCTCTGTGGCTCTGGGGCAGTTAAAAATGCCCCCAAGAGAAATGGAGAGGAAAGCAGCCATACTCTCTCTCCCTTCCCTTCAGCTTGCCTTTCTATTGCCTATGCTATTTCTGGAGGAGCACTTGGGGGGGACCTAGAGTAATATATCTCCCTTTTGCAGATGAGGGAACTGAGGCCCAGGGAGTTGAAATGACTCCCCCAGGGCTGCACAGGTAAAACCAGAATTGCATTGTAGTGAGTCTAGAATTCAAAGCCAGGTTCTCTCATCCTCTCAACCAGAGGATCTTTTGGTTTTTTAAAATTAAATTTTTGGAAATAGCGTTTCATTTTTTCTGATCACATGTAAAGGTAGTTTTCAACATTCATCTTTTAATAAAATTGTGAGTTCCAAATTTTTTTCTCCCTTCCTCCCCTCCCATCTGCTCGCGGTGTCCTGCGTCGGGTCCCCCCATGCTCTCTTCTCCCCTCCACTCCCCTCCTATCCCCCTTCCCCCCAAGGAAGTTCCCCGGCTCCCCCGCCCCCGCCCGCAGCGCTGGCCTCCGAGATCGCCTGCCGGCTATTGTCTGTGTCTGCACGTGCACGTCCTCCCTCCCGTGAGCGTGATGCGGGCTTTCGGCGCACAGTAGGCGCTCACTAAGCAGTTTGGCTCGCCGGCCGCCTTGTTATCCGTGCGCTAGGAAGGCCTAAGCTCTTCGAGGGCAGGGGCCGCGCTTGGCACCTAGGACGGGTTCTCGACCCACCGATCTACACGCATTTATGAAGGGCCTCCCTACTGGGTGCTAGGCACTCTCCGCCGGGACCGGCTGAATCGGTCCCGGCCCCGGGCAGCGCACGCGTTCCTGTGGGGTGATTGACTCGGGGGCGAGCGCTGGGGCCTCAGTTTCTCCTGACCTCCCGGGGCGTCAGCTGCCGGCCCAGCAGGGGGTCGGGCGCGCGCGGCCGCGCCGTCCCCGGGGACCGAGGCGGGGGGCGGGGCGACCCCGCGGTGGGGGGGGGCTCCCTCCTCCCGCCCGCGCCACGCGGCTCAGCCAATGGGAGCGCGGGCCCCGAGCTTGGCCGCCGTCCGCCGCCGCTGGTGCTGAAAACGGCTTCCGCGCGCTCCCCGCCCGGACCGCGACAGGGCGCGCCGCCGCCGCCAGCTCCTGGGCTCCGCCGCCGCCACCATGGCCCCGCACTCGGAGCCCGCGGGCCCCGCGGGGGCCTCGCCGAGACTCTTCACGTGGGACGAGGTGGCGCAGCGCTGCGGGCGACAGGAGCGCTGGCTCGTGATAGACCGCAAGGTCTACGACATCAGCGAGTTCAGCCGGAGGCACCCGGGCGGCTCGCGGGTCATCAGCCACTACGCCGGCCAGGATGCCACGGTGAGCGCCGGGGCAGGGGATGCAGCTCGGGGGGCCCGGGGCGCTGCGACCCACCCCCCCGGGGGCAAAGGAGGGGGTGCGGGGGCTGCAGCGCGGGGAGCAGGGGGCGCGGGGCTCGGGGCACTGCGCTATCCCGGGGGCAGGGGCTGCTGCCCGGCCCGGGCTCTGATGCCGCAGCGCACGCCGGATCCAGAGGTTGGGGACCCCAGCTGGAGTGGACAGAGGAGCTGGAAAAGCCGGGGAAGTAGGGCAAGAAGGGGCGTGGGACGAAGACGTCCTTGGAGGGGATGTGGCCTCTGCGGGAGGGTCCGGGGAGCCTGGAGTGGGAGGGTCAGAGGCAGGAAGTGGGGTTTCCTTGTGGAAAGGGCAGAGGGGGCGCGCGGAGGCTTCCGACTTGCAAATCTAATGGCCAAAGCTAGCAGAGAGAGGGGAATGGCACAGAGCTGGGGCTCTCGGAGAAAGAGACGGTAGTTGGCTGGGCGACTTTGGGCCCGAGGCGCACAAACTCAGAGGTTCGTGGGCCGAGACAGCACGTGTAAGGAGTGTTGTCCAAGTGGGAAGGGAAGTTCCCAAAGGAAGGTCAGGAGCGCTCGGATCCCTGCATAAAGTTCCAGCCCTAGGAGATGGAGACGGGAATACTGGAGAACCGAGAACCGGGCCGTGGTCTGGCTGTCAAGTCGAGACACTTGGACTGAGCCTAGCGGGGGGATGCAAGGACAGGCAGGAGCAGGGCCCGGCTCTCAAGAGCCCACAGTCTAGTGGGGAGACACCGTTCCAACCACTGTGTACAAACAGGGCATTGACGGGACCAGTCGGAGATGCCCTCCGAGGGAAGTCACTGCAATGATGATGGGAAAGGCTTCTTGCACAAGCTGGGCTTTAGCTGGGACCTGGGGGACGCCCCGAGGGAGGGCACTCCAGGCCCGGGGGCTGCCTCGGGCCGGTCTGCGGGCAGGGCAAAGAAGGACCCAGGACCAGAAGGGCAGAGGCACGGGGGCCTGCAGCTGTCGCAGCTCCGAGGGCTCGGACATTGGCAGAACCCGAGGTCAAGGATGCGCCCCTGGGGAACAACCCCTGCATCTCCTACCCCTAGCTGACCCCTGGCCAAAGCTGCTCATTGCTCCGTCTGGGCCTCGAGCGCTAATTAAGCGCCTGGCGTGTGCCCCGGACCCCGAGTGCAGCGCCCCCCTCCTCTTTCCCCCAATTGGGGAGGGGCCGGGTGTGCACTCATCCCCTTGACCTCTTCCCTTCTGCCCCACCCCCTTCTGGCCAGACGCCTAGAGCCCAGGAGGGGAAGGAGAGGAGAAGCCCTGCCCCCTCCCTCCTTCTTCCCTTCCCCGTCCCCAGGGCACACGCGGCCCTGGGCTCCCCTGGAGACGGAGCATGCGCAGCGCAACCCGTAGGCCGGGATGGGAGGGGCGGGGCGCAGCGGCCCAAGCTTCGGCTTTTTCCGTTATGTGACATTGTTCCGACTGCAGGGGTGGTGATTGGTCCTAACGGGTGGTACCACCGCACCTCGGTCCCGCCTCTGCCGCCGCTCATCCAATAGGGGCGTGGGAGCCGTTCCTGACCCTGGGGAGGGGGCATGGGGGCGGGGCGAATTCCGCTCCCCGGAACAGGGTAAACCCCGCTTAGCGAGCAGCCTGAAGCCGCTGCCTGCAACTCGTAGGGGCGAAGTGGCCTTGGGGGAGCTCTCGGGGGTCGGGGTGGGGGGTCTCCTATGTGTGCGCAGCAGCCCGCTGGGAGAGGCGCTAAGAGGAGTCCCGTTGTACAGATGGGGAAACTGAGCCCGAGAGAATGGTAGTCTGGGAAAGAGACCCCTCGGCTTGTATCCCTTCCGTGATGGGGAGCTCACCATCTGTCATGGTCAAACTCCTTGGTTTCCAAGCTTTCCCTGCCTAGATCCTAAGCGGAGCCCCTGCAGCCCCCTACTCCAGGGGGTAGGTCTTGTCTGCAGGTACCTGGAGGGGTTAGGGGGGCTGGCCCAGGTGAGCCCCTCTTCCTTTACTCCCCCTACCCCCACCTCATCCAGCCAGACATCCCATTACTCCAACCAATCCCACAGAACGTTTTCTTTAAAAAAAAAATTCAAATACATATAATATATTCATTACATATTTTTACCATTCTTTAAACGTTTTGAGTCCCAATTTCTCACCCACCTACCCTCCTCCACCCACTGAGAAGGCCAGCAGTGTGACAATTACACCTGTGAAATCATGCAAACCACTTCTATATTGGCCATAGTCCAAAAAAGAAAAAAAGTAAGTAAAGAAAGTGAGAAAATTATACCTTGATTTGTACTCAGTTCTCTCTCTGGAAGTGGATAGTATTTCTTCATGTTGTTCAGGCGTGTACTACACAGAGATATTGGAGTGGTTTGCCATTTCCTTTTCCAGATGAGGAAACTGAGGCAGACAGGGTGAAGTGACTTGCCCAGGGTCACTGCCCAGGAAGTGTCTGAGGCAGGATTTGAACTCAGGGAGATGAGTCTTCCCGACTCCAGACTCTGCATTCTATCCACTGCCCCTCATGAGGTCCTTGGATTTCCCTTGGATCATTGTATCATCAGAACGGCCAAGTCTGTCACAGTTGATCATCATTATGAGGTTGCTGTTAACTGTGCACAGTGATCTTCCGGTCCTTCTTGCTTCACTTTGCATCAGTTCCTGTGGGTGTTGCCAGGTTTTTCTGAAAACACCCCCCTTGTCATTTCTTAAAGCGCAGTAGTATTCCGTCACAATGATATACAATGACTTGTTCAGCCATTCCCCAGCTGATGGGCATCCCCTTGATTTCCAATGCTTGGCCATCACAAACAGCTGCTATGGATATTTTTGTATGTCTAAGTCCTTTCCCTTTTTCTTTGATCTCTTTGGGACACAAACCTAGCAGTGGTATTCTTTGGTCAAAGGGTATGCACAGTTTTGTAGCCCTTTGAGCATAGTTCCACACTGTTTTCCAGAAGGGTTGGACCAGTTCACTACTCCACCAGGAGTTCATTAGTGGACCTATTTTCCCCTCATCCCCTCCAACATTTGTCATTTCTGATAGGTGTGAGGTGGTACCTCAGAGTTGGTTTAATTTGCCTTTCTTTAATCAATAATGACTTAGGACATTTTTTCATATGACTATAGAGAGTTTTGATTTCTTCTTCTGAAAACTCCCTGTTCTTATCATTTGACCATTTATCAATTAGGGGGAATGGCTCTTATTTTTTATAAATTTGGCTCAATTCTCTACATATTTGAGAGATGAAGCCTTTATCAGAGAAAATTGCTGTAAAAATTGCTGCTATAAAATCATTGTCTACGGTACCTTTTAGCAAAATGTAGTTTCCTTCATTATTTCTTTTAATTAGGTTGCCCCTGCCTTTTTAACTTCAGCTGAAGTATATTAGATTGTGTTCTGGCCCTTTTACTCTGTATGTGTTTTTGTTTCAAGTGTGTCTCTTGTAAACAATATATTGTTGGATTCTGCTGTCTCCTTCCATTTTATGTGTGAGCTCATCCCATTTACATTCACAGTTATGATTACTGTGTATTTCCTTCCATCTCATTGCCTTCTATTTCTTCTTCTTCTCTCTTTCTCTTTTTTATCCTCCCCCTCCTCAAAAATCTATATTGCTTCCAATCACTGCCTTCTTTAATCTGTCCTCCCTTTTATCACTTACCCCCCTCCCCTTTCTCTTATCCCCTTCCCCTCTTATTTCTCTATTGGATAAGTTATATTTCTATACACAAGTGTGTGTGTGTGTGTGTGTGTGTCTTCTTTCCTATTTGAACCAATTTTGATAAGAGTGAGGTTCAAGCACTGCTTGCCACCCTCCCCCTCATTGTAAAATCTCTTCCTTGTATGCCTGTTTTTTGTGAGAAAAATTTCTACCTCTTCCTTCCCCCTTTCCTCAGTGCATCCCTCTTTTCCACTCTTTCATTTCTTTTTGGGAGATCTTTCCACCATAATCAGCCGATACCCTTGCCCATTGTCTGTGATGTCTGTTCTTAGGAGTTACATGCATCATCTTCCCATATAGGAATGTAGTTTAACTTTACTGAGATCCATATGATTCCTCTTTCATGTCTATCTTTTTATGCTTCTGTTGAGTCTTATGTTTGAATTTTGCATTATCTATTTAGCTCTGGTCTTTTCATCAGGAAGGGTTGAAAGTCCTTTATTTCATTAAAAATCTACTTTTTCTCTTGAAGGATTATACTCAGTTTTGCTCTCCAGGTTATTCTTGGTTACAGTCCTCTCTTCTTTTCTTTCTGGACTATCATTCCAAGTTCTTCATTCCTTTAATGTGGAAGCCCCTAAGTCTTGTGTGATCCTGCAGCTCCATGATAAAATGATAAAATTGTTTCTTTCTGGCTGCCTTTTTTTTTTATTTGTATATTTTCTCTTTGACCTGGGAGCTCTGGAGTTTGGTGACAATATTCCTGGGAGTTTTCATTTTGGGATCTCAGGAGGTGATTGGTGGATTTTTTTCAATTTCTATTGTATGCTCTGGAGCTAAGATGTCAGGGCAGTTTTCAGTGACAATTCCTTGAAATATGATGTCTAGGCTCTTTCTTTGGTCATGGCTTTCCCAATAATTCTTAAATTCTCTCTCCTGGATCTATTTTCCAGGACAGTTGTTTGTCCAATTAGATAGCTGGTCTCGCATTTTTGTCTTCTTCTGAGTTTGTGACCTTGTCTCCCCTGCCACCATAGTCATTCTTCTTTGTTGTTTGCCCATTTTCCCAGCCTATTTCTTGATTTTAAACTTTGTGTTAAAGTTGTTTTTGTGTTGCTATTTTCAGAGCTCATTCTGGGGGTCTGCAGGTTTTTGTGGCTGTGATCCTGGGAGAGGTGTGGTCACTGCTCTCCCGGTCTGTGCCCCAGGAAGGCCCCAACTCCCCTGTCATCCCAGCTCCAAGTACTGGTGTTCCTTTTTGCCTTGGACCTATGACCAGGGCCCCTGTTCCCTTGGGACCGGCCATCAGTGCTTCTCTTTGCCCTGGAACTGCGTGTGGGCAGTAGAGTTGCCAGTCAGTGCTGGCCGTACCCAGTGGCAGCCAAGGGTCCCCTGTAACCTCTTTCTGACCAGTTGTCCAACTCCGTTACCACTTCTGGGCTGAGGCTGCTGCTGCCCCACGTGTGGGCTCCAGACAGGCCTCCACTTTGGTGTCACAGACTTCTGCTGACCTCTTAAGTTATCTTCAGTCAAAAAATGTGTCACCCTGACCTTTTGTTGACTGGAGTGCTCTAAAATGTGATTTTAGATGTTATTTCAAAGTTGTTTGGAAGGGAATGCTGAGAGTTCAGCTGGGTTGCCTCTCATCTGCCATCTTGAACCCCCTTCCCCATCCTGCTTGCCCTCCCAAGAAGGCTTTCTAGCTTTTCAGTGTCCTTAAAATGTTGGTGCCCAGAACTGAACACACACACTAGGTGTGGCATCTGAAAGCACTCAGGATATGGTGCAGAGATGAAGACATCCCTTCCTCTCCAGAGAGGCACAAGCAGCTCCTGGGGTGGGGTCTGGGTTTCCTCCAGATCTCCACCCCTCTGGCCATGGTCTTGGTGATCTCCTGGGGCTGACCAGTCCTCTGCCCTCTGGTGATGAGCCTGTCCAAACTGAGGTGTCCCTAGGACCAGACACACACACACACACACACACACACACAGACACACACACACACACCCACACACACCTCTTGTCCCCGCCCATCCCAGAGGTGCTGCTCTGGCCCTGGAGAGCCCTGGTCACCTGGCAGAGAGGATGACTTCACTCATGGCCGTCTATTACTCACCATCACTTTAAAAGAAATAGAGGATTTATGCTTCACCCACTTGCAAAATCAGTTAAGACAACCCCTCCCTCTGCACTTCTCCATGAATGCCTTGCTTCCACTGTTTTTCTTTAGGCAGAAAAAGGCTGTAGGGCATTTAGAGAAGATTAGGCCTTGCAGGCCAACTATGTATTCATTATATAGCCAAGGAAACAAGCAGTGACTTCCAGAGTCTCTGGAAAGCTTGTGGTAGAGCCCGGACCCGACCTGTTCTCCTCTGTTGCTAAAATCACGGAGTTGTTTTAAGCAGGACTCGTTAGTCGAGGGACGTTCCCAGGCACCCAGCCCTGTGCAGGCCGCTGTGACTGATCTAAAGATGAATAATAATAATGTTTCTAAGGTTTGCAAAGCCCTTGTATTGCAGACACTCAGGCGAGCAGGTAGTGGACGCTAAATTGCCCAGGGTCACTCCCTCCCAGACACCTGTGACTTCTCCCAGTCAGGTGCTTCTCAATCCCCCTTGCTGGGGTGACCCAGAGGACTGCTCAGGAGCAGGGGCAGGGCTCCGAGAGAGGACATGTGCCCGAGGTCACAGAGGTCTCTGGTCTCCGCACTCCCTCTGCCTCTCCACCCACCTCTCCATCCAAACCCTTCTCTTAGTTCGGGCCTCATCTCCTTAGAGGCTCCCCTTGGGTCTCTCTCCTCTGCAGTCCGTCCTCACACAGCTTCCACAACCCTCATAGGGCACAGTTCTGATCCTGTATCTTGTCAGAGTATCTCCACTGGCTTCCTGTTGCCTCAGAAACTTCTCAGCCTGAATTTTGAAGCTCCTCTTTCATGTCACTCCAACATTCCAGCCAAACCGGCCCATTGACTGCCCTCTAGACTTGGCATTCCCATGCCCAGAATGCCCTGCTTGCTCAGTGACCCTTCAGGGCATAGTTCGGGCACCACCTTTGACAGAAATCCTTTCCCTGCACTGCACAGTGCCCTCTCTTCCCAGGTTTGCCAAGCTAGATACACATTGGGTCCCCTGGAGAGTGGGAACTTCCTGAGGACAGGCGCTGTCTTTGCCCCCCTGGCACCTCACACAGAAGGAGACAAACAAAGGGACGACTGGTCGCTGAGAGGCTGAGACCTGCCGGTCACCCAGACTCCCCTCAGAATATCCGCCCAGGGACTGGAATGTTTCAGCAGCCTGGACAGTGCCTGCTGCGTGTTTTTTAAGGACTCACCTGTCCTTGGATTCTTATTCTGACCTTGGTAAATGCCGGGTCACAGAGTTTGAGTTTTATCCCCTAATTAATGGGGAGCCATTGATGGTTGGTGAGCAGAGCTGACGTCTGAGTCATCCGTCTGAGTGAGGGCAGCTTCCTGGATGGTCTGAGACTGTGAGATTGTCCTGACCCTGGTATTCACCTTGGGTTTAACCTAAAATTACTTGGATTTTAACATTTTAGAGAAGTTGGAAGAATATGCCCCCTTCTGCATCAGTGCCGCCTGGGGCCATCTCCGCTGAAAAGCTTTTTGGGGGCAGGGCTCCCAGCCTAGACCACCAAGGTGGGGTGCTGGGGGAGAGAGCCTGGTGCCCCTCAATCCCAAGAAGGAATGGCCTGTAAGCCTCAGGACCAAGAGTGCAGGCAGTGATCCTTATTGGCCTTGCGGCCTTTCTCTAGCTAGGCTCTGGTGGCCTCAGCTGAATGTGGGGGTGCGTGTGTCTGTGGGGTGTGTGTATCTGGGGGGTGTGCATATCTATGGGGTGCATATATCTATGGGGGTTCATGTGTCTGGGGTATGTGTGTCTGGGGGTGCACATATCTATGGGGGTGCATTGTCTGGGAGTGTATCAGGGGGTGCGCATATCTGTCCCCATCCCTGCTAGGCAGGGGCTGTGTGGAGGGAGCACAGCTTACCTTGTAGAGGAGAGGGGAGCCCGGACCTCTGCTGCCTGGCCAGCTCAGGGTGGGTTTCTCAGTTCCCTTTCTCTTGGCCTCTCTAGGACCCCTTCACGGCATTCCACATCGACAAAGCCTTGGTTCGGAAGTACATGAATTCTCTGCTGATCGGGGAGCTGGCTCCGGACCAGCCCAGCTTTGAGCCCAACAAGAATGTGAGTTGGTGGAAGGCTGGGTGGTGAGTGGGGGGCTGGGCTGAGGTTTCCCCGCACCCCAAGCATCTCAGAGGCAGAGCATCCTAGAAAGCCCCTCTGAGATCGCCAGCGTTTCTCCAAGGAGAGAATAACCACACACAAGCTGGAACACCTCCAGGGATGGGGGTTACTCTATACAGTTCTAATTGTCAAGAGATTGACTCAACCTCCCCCCCACCCTTTTTTCTTTGCCCATCCTCGTGCTGGGCCCTACAGAACAATCAGATCCTTCTCCTGTCCCGTCACCTTCTGACTGGGCTACACAGCCTAGGCCTTTCGGTCTCCCCTTCCAAGCAAGGGCTCCTTCCTCCCCAGCCCAGGTCCATTGTCTCAGAGACACTGGAGGCAGTCCCGGGGCACAGGCACAGCCCTGGATCTTGGCCATAATATTCTACGGAGACCTCTCAGGATGCCCCTCACTGCCCGGCTGGGGGTCAGAGCAGGGCACTGCCTGCCTTCCGTCCCACAGAAACAGCTGACGGATGAATTCCGAGAGCTGAGGGCCACTGTGGAGCAGATGGGGCTCATGAAGGCCAACCCCGTCTTCTTCACGCTCTGCCTGCTGCACATCCTGCTCTTGGACGTAGCCGCGTGGCTCACGCTCTGGGTCTTTGGGACATCGCTGGTCCCCTTCCTCATCAGCGCGGTGCTGCTCAGCACTGTCCAGGTAACGAAGCCCGGCTTCCGGCCTCTCTTAGCATGGCCTGCGCCTCCATGGGAAATGCTTTTTCTCCTTGGGAGGATGTTGGTGTGAACTGTAGAAAGGCAAGAGGCCTCAGTCTCAAGGCAGAGAACAGGCATATTAGAGCTGGAAGAGATCTTTGAACACAGACCATTTAATATTAGCGCTGGAAAGAACTTTAGAACAAGGACTGTCAGGGCTGGGAGGGGCCTCAGAACAGGGGATGTCAGGGCTGGGAGGGGCCTCAGAACAAGGGATGTCAGAGCTGAAATAGACAAGTGTTTGGGTGGGGAGCCCCACCATGTGGTCCTAGAACATGTACATACTGGTGAAGATCCGTGATCTAGACCTGTTCCTCTGAGGTGGCGGCAGGCAAGGTAACTTGCCTCAGGTCACTGCCTGTTGGGGCCCCTGACACCGGACTGGAAACAGCCGGTGTCAGGATTGCCCTGCCTGGGGGCTCAGGGAGGAAGGAAGGAAGGAAGGAAGGCATTTCCAAAGGTGAGAACCTACCGGGTGATTGCGGCCAACATCCGCTCCTTCCCGGAGCGAGCCCCTTCTTGTTTCCACCAGATCCAGCTCCTTGCACGCAGGGCCCCTTCTGTCTCAGGCCACTGTTTGTCCTCCTGCTCGGTCCCTGTGAAATCTCCCCACGCCCCTTTGAGCTTGGCTCTTGCCCAGCCCGGCCCCGTTCCCACGGGAATCGGTAGCGCTCCAGAATTGAGACGCTGGCTTCCCAGAAAGGAAAGGCTATTCATTCTGCCCTCCCTGCGTTTGCCTGCATACTGACAAGGTCACAGCCGGTGCTTGGGTCTGCAGCCTCCTGATCTGGGGCCCAGCGCCGCCTTCTCCATGTGCCAGTCCCCAGGCTTTGAGAGTAAACTGTAGAATTGTCCATCAGTCCCCTAACAAGCCTTGACTGACCACTTGGCATGTTGAAGGCACGGGGTTAGGCACTGGAGATAGAGAAAAAGAAAACCTGGCCCCAGAAATCCGCACACAGGAGGAAGGACAGCGCAGGGAAACGTCAACCTGAGAAGGGACGCAGCCCCTGCAGCCCCCGGGGCAAGGGGCCCAGGAAGGCTCCAGAGGAGGCTACCCTTCAGAGGAGGGGGCCACGGACTCCTCCAGGTCGGGGCTGGGCGGGCAAAGGCCTGGGGAGGAGAGTTCAAATGTTGAGTGTGCAGACTGGCAAGGGGGTGGGAGCAGACTCTGAGGAGGTTGGAGAGGTTCAGATGCCCAACAGAGGGCTCTGTGTTTGAGGCTGGAGGTTAAGCAGGGGCGCGATGGTCAGAGCCGAACTTGAGGAAGCTCCCTTTGGCAGATGGACGGCCCATTAGAAAGCCCCTGTTGTCCTCCGGATGAGAGGGGACTCGGGCCTGCGGCGGGGGAGGGGGAAAATGCAGAGAGAGAAGCCCACTCGGGCTGAGGCGGGGAGAGGAGGTCCCTGAGGCCGGCATCTGGGCGACTGTAAGGGGGGTGGTGTCCTTGAAGAGGGGAATGGGTTATGGGTCATCCACTTGGGGAGTTTAGAGATCAGTACGGTCAGACCTTTCATCTTAAGGGTGGAGAAATTGAGGCACAGAGAGGGGTCACACGGTGAGGGAGCCGGCATGATACCTAGGGGACAGCAGAGGATGGAGTGTGAGCGCCCGCTCTAACGCTTCCTGGCCGCGCCTCTTGGCCGAGTCAGCCGACTTCTCAGCCTGCCTCAGTTTCCCCCTTTGGGTGGTGGAGCTGAGGGCGGGGGTGCGGTGGGAGGAGCCGGGGCCCAGCCCCACTGGCTCTGCCCTCTCTCCCAGGCTCAGGCGGGATGGCTGCAGCACGACTTTGGACATCTCTCGGTCTGCCGCACGTCCACGTGGAACCACCTGCTGCACCACTTTGTGATTGGCCATCTGAAGGTGGGGAGGCCGCAGTGCTGGGCCTGGGCGGGAGGCGCCGGGGGGCCAGCTACTTCCTCACGGCCTGTCTGTGCCTCCTGTCTGCAGGGGGCCCCTGCCAGCTGGTGGAATCACCTGCACTTCCAGCACCATGCCAAGCCCAACTGCTTCCGGAAGGACCCAGACATCAACATGCACCCCCTCTTTTTTGCCCTGGGGAAGGTTCTGTCGGTGGAGGTGAGCGGGGGCAGGAGGGAAGGGGCCTCCCGGCCCCTCCCAACGGCAGCGCCTGGAAGGCAGGGACCCCAGATCAGAGATGGCCTAGGGACCCAGGCGCTTCCTGATTCCCAGGGCTAGCGTCTCTGAATCGACCCACGGTAGGAGAGACAGAGAGCCCACTGGCCATTGGGGGGCCTGGCTGCCCAGGCTCCCTGAGGTCAGACTCTGTGCCAGAGAACTCGAACAAAAGCACCAGAAGGGCAGGCCACTCGAGGGGTGTTCACAACAACAGACGTCCAGAGCCCCATGCTGGGTGATCTATAAGGCAGCAGCTGCCTAGAGTTGGGAAGACCCGAGTTCAAATCTAGCCTTAGAGACTTAACAGCTATATGATCCCTGGCAAGTCACCTCACCTCTGTTTGCCGCAATTTCTTCAACCGTAAAGTGGAGATAATAGCTCTGATCTCACAGGGTGTTGGGAAGATCCAGTCAAGACCTTGCCAACCTCAAAGCCCTATATAAATGTCACTTATAGAAATCATATATATATATATAATAATATATAATATATATTATATATATTATAACATTTATATTATAAAAATCCTATATAAATTGTCATTCTTGTTATTATACAAAGTTTGTACAAGACACGCCCTTGCTCTCATGGAATGCCCAGCCTAGTGAAGGGCGAGGACATCAGAACAAAGCATTCTAGCGCACATCAGAGTGAGTGCGCCAAGAGTGGCCTGAAAGCTCACGGTCGGGGCCGGGGCAGAGGAGGCTCCAGAGAGCAGAGGCGCGGAGGGGGCGTGAAGGGCCGGGGTGTCGGGGGCAGCCTCCTTCCTCTGACCGGCGGATTCGGAAGGGCGCCGCCCGTCGCCAGGATGCGCTGGGTCTCCCAGCGTTTGCTCAGCGTCTCTGTGGCCTTTACCTACATCACCTCACCGATCCTCGTGACACCCCAAGGGCCACTGCACACAACCTTTCCCCCATTTTGCAGATGAAGAAGCTGAGGTTAGAAGAGAGTAAGCAGTTTGTCCAGGGAGACAGAATCAATCATTCACTCAGCCAGCATTTATTAGGCACCTCCCATGTGCCAGGCACTGCACCAAGGACACAGCCCAGTCGGTACTAAATGTCTGAGGCAGGATTTGAACCCGGGCCTTTCTGACTCCCCTGTCCCTCACTCAGCTGCCACCCGCCTCTCGCCCTTGGAGAGTGGCATTCATTACCGTGTATCTCTTGGTAGAGGGACAGGAGCCAGAGGAGTCAGGCAGGGAAGGCTCCAGAGGCTTGGAACAGGAGGGGGGATGTGGTTTGGCAGGGACAGGGTAAAAAGCTGTCCAAACTTTCCAGGTGGAGGGCAGGATGTGCCAGGTGCAACCTTGGCAGGAGAGGCTGGGGGATGTTGGGGGCAGGGCCCGGCTCCACCTGCGGCCTCTTGCCCCTGCAGGCAGCTGCCATGGTGGGGAGGCTCCCGCAGGTCAGGCCCTTGACCTTGGATAAGGCATTTCTTAGCCTCACAAATGCAGCATTTAATCTGGTACACTCACACGTGTGTCTCCAACCACCTAAGTGCCTTACTTTTCTGGGAAGCCAAGTGTTTGTCACATTCTTGCCCACACACCAAGAATCACGAGGGATCTTGTCCGGCTGGTACCTTGGCCCCAAGTGCCCTCGCCGGCCTCCCCGATCGGTGGCCGTCCAGTGTCCTCAGTGACCTCCAGAGCTCTTCTGTTACTGCTGGGATAAAAGAGAGAGCCCTGGGGGGCTGTGGGGGGCCGTGGGGATTGTGGGTCCAAGGCGCTGGGCGCTCTCTGCCCCAGGGGAGAAGCCGGAGGGGCGGTGTGAGGAAAGTGAGCTTGCTTGGTGTCCTGAGAGTCAGGGCAGAGAGCTTCAGATGCATTTTCTGAGCCGCTTCTGAGTGCCCCGCTGGCTCCCCTGGGGGAGGGGCTCAGAAGGCCCGGCTCACTCGGGCCTGAAGGATCTCGCGGTGACTGTGGCCGCCCAGGTCTCTGCTCTTGGCCAGCCCCAGGCCCAAGCCGGCAGGGCTGGGGTAGCCTGGCCCTTTCCGGCATCCCTCTTGACGCTACCCCTGTCCTCTTTCCAGCTCGGGAAGCAGAAGAAGAGATACATGCCCTATAACCACCAGCACAAGTACTTCTTCCTGAGTGAGTGTCCTGCCCGGGCGGTGGGGTCAGGCAGGGCCCAATGAGGCCCCTTTACACCAGTCCTGCCTGGGCCGCTGGGGGTGGGGGACGTTCCTGACCATACGGGAGGGTCATTTCTCTTGAGCCTCTTGAAGGCCTCATTTCTTTTGCTTCTCTGTCCTGAGAATCCCCTTTTCCTCCTTGGCAGAAGAACCTCAGGCCTGAGTCAGCCCTTGGAGCTTTTGAGGGGGCAGGTTCTATGGTCAAGTGGGGAGCAGCCAGGCCCCACAGGGTTGGGTTCCAGGAGAGGTGCCTCCCTCTGGACATGGGCCCAGAGAAGTGGAGGCTGGGTCAGAAGCAGCCCTGCAGGGGCCGAGCCCAGAGGAGGGAGCTGAGGAGGAGCATCGTCTTTGAGGGCCTCAAGTGTCTCGAGGACCCCTCATTCTGACCAGGCCTTGCAATTCTGTTCAGATTCATCATCCCTTTAAAAAACACAAACACTCCTACAAAGGTCAAAGAAGCCTTCCTGTGAGGTAGCTTAATCACGTTTGTTTTTGTTTTGAGACCTACGTTGCTTAGGATGTAAATTTTGGGCAAAAAAGAATTTGTAGGGAAGTCACGGCACCTGGTTGGGAGAGTCAGAGAAGAGGAGGGAAGCTGAGTGCTTGTGGATGGCCCAGGGCTGGGATGCTGTTCACAGCCCTCCCCTCTCCTCCCTTCCCATGGATGGATGGATGGATGAATGGATAGATGGATGGACGGATGGATGGACAGACAGATGAATGGATGGACGGACAGATGGATGGATGGATGGATGGACGGGTGGATGGATAGATAGACGGATGGATAGATGGATGGATGGACAGACAGATGGATGGACGGATGGACAGACGGATGGATGGATGGACGAATGGATGGATGGATGGACGGATGGACAGACAGATGGATGGATGGATGGATGAATGGATAGATGGATGGATGGACGGATGGACAGACGGATGGACAAATGGGCAGCCTCTGGGCCTGGCTGAGGATGCTCCTCCAGGAGGGACAGGCTGTCCTCGTACCTGCCCAGGGGAGCTCCCTTCGGACCTCCCCTCCTGCCTGGCTTCTCCAGGTGCTGCGGCCTCTGCCCTCCTCCTCCTAGGTCTCCTTGACTTACATTTTGGATTCACTCAGGTGTCGCCATTTTGCTTCCCCCTTTTTAAAAATGTTGGGCTGTTGTTTGCATGCTAGTGCTTAGCACATCGTTGGCTTAATAAATGCTTGTAGAGGAGGAGGTGAGAAGGTGCAGGCCTTCTTACGTAGGAAGGCCGCGCTAGAGGAAGTGGCTCGCTCGGCGGCTCTGCCTGAAAGGCTGTGAAGTGGAAGATCAAGGAGCTATGAGGTGACCAGCACACCGGTCCTGCCCCGCCCCTTGCCAGCTCTGTGACTGCACGCAGGCCACTGTGGCCTTTGCAGCCTCAGTTTCCCCATCTCTAAAGGGAGAGGGTGGGACCAAGGCTCTCGGGTTGCTTCCAGCTCTCAAGTCTCTGACCCCAGGATGAAGGGGGCGGCAGCTGGGCCCCCGAGGCCGCTCACACTTGTGTCTTTGCAGTTGGGCCCCCGGCCTTGCTGCCCGTCTACTTCCAGTGGTACATATTCTATTTCGTGGTCCAGCGCAAGAAATGGGTGGTGAGTGTCCTTGGGCCAGCACCCCCAGCTCCCCATTGTCCCAAGGGCTCTGGGGTGGGGGAGGCAGGAAGCTGGAGCACAAAGCGGGGGGGGTCAGGGGTCAGGGGTCAGGGTCAGGAGACCTGGGTCTGCCCCCGAGCCTGAGACCTTGTCCTGTGAAGTAAGGACATAAGACCACTGGCCCTCTCACCTGTGGCTGCTCTTGGACAGGCTGGCACCAATGTCTCTAGGAATCCTTGAGGATGCCTTCCTTCCAGACCTATTTGTTCAGATCCTGCTAGTGAAAAGAGACAGAGAGAGTGAGGGACAGAGAGAGACATGGGAGAGGAGACAGAGAGAGATACGGGGGTGGGGGAGAGAAGGAAAGTCGTCTGTCTCTAGCTGATCTCACCTCTCTCCACACCTTAGGACCTGGCCTGGATGTTCACCTTCTATCTGAGAATCTCCTTCACTTACATACCCCTGCTGGGCTTTAAAGGCTTCCTGCTTCTCTTCTTTATTGTCAGGTAGCAGCTGAGGGCAGGGTGGGATGGAAGGCACCCCGGTGCTTGTGGGGGAGGGGGGGAAGGGGAGGGGCAGGGGGAGGAGGGGCTCCTCTCATTCTCTCATGGGGCAGGGGACATCCACTACTTCTGCACTTGCCTAGGTTCCTGGAGAGCAACTGGTTCGTGTGGGTGACCCAGATGAACCACATTCCCATGCACATTGACCACGACCGGAACGTGGACTGGGTCTCCACTCAGGTAACAGCTGGAGATGGTGTTTGGGAGGCCGTGGGGAGGCAGGACGACACCCAGAACCCTTCAGCGTGCTTGATGGGAGTGCGTGCTGAGAGGGCGGTGGTGGTTGGGGAAGGGCCCATGGCTAGGGGGCGCCTCACTGCCCCTGTACTGACTTTCTCCTCCAGCTGCAGGCAACATGTAACGTGCACGAGTCTTTCTTCAACGACTGGTTCAGCGGACACCTCAACTTCCAGATTGAGCACCAGTGAGTCTGGGGTGCTGGGAAGGGCAGCCGCTGGGGTGAGGGGGAGGAGGAAGAGGAGGAGAAAGATGAAGCCCCAGCAGGACCTGGGGCTGGGGCAGGGGCACAGAAGCACAAGGGCCAGGGAAATGGGACGCCCACCAGCGTGGGGATTAAGGAGCAAGAAATCAGAGGGGTCACAAAGTCTAGGCCCCTCATTTTACAGATAAGAAAGCTGAGTCCCACAGAGGGGGAGGGGGCTTGTCCTCAAATGCAAGCCTTCCAACGTTTCTGCTCAAAAAGAATGCTGCTAAAAATCTCGCTTACTCTCCCCTTCAGTCTTTTCCCCACTATGCCGAGACACAATTACCACAAGGTGGCACCCCTGGTGAGATCCTTGTGCGCCAAACACGGCATCGAGTACCAGTCCAAGCCTCTGCTCTCCGCCTTTGCCGACATTGTCCAGTGAGTACTGGTGCTGAGAAGAAGGGAGGCGAGGGAGGGGCCTGGAGGTGGCCATTTGGAAGAGAGGGGCTCTGCTGTGGCCTCGTGGGCACAACATTCTGCCCGGGCTACACCCTCCCAGACGCCGCCCCCGGCATCTTCCTGGGTACCGCCTTGGGACCTCGCTCAGCCTTCTCCTCTCCCTCTGTGGACTCTCCCTTTCAGTGAGTCAGGATAGTTTCTCCGCCTGCTTTCTTGTCCCCTGGCCCTCTCACATTCTGCCCTCCGCTGATCTGAGGTGCGGACATGTTCTCTCTCTCCCATCAGACTGAAAGTTTCGCCTTGGCATCCCCAGCATCTAGAGCAGTGCTTTGTGCATCGTAAGCACTTAGTCAGTCATCTGGAAGGTCATCTCTCAAATGCCCACAAGGGCCAGACCTAAATGAAACAGGTCCTGCCGGCAAGGAGCTTACACTCTAGGAGAGACCGCACCACTAAGCTTATACAAGGCCCAAGGTCCGAGCTGAGCTTTGAAGGCAGCCAGTGATTCCAAGAGAGGGACGTTAGGAGGGACAGCATTCTGGGCACGTAGAGGCCCAGAGAGAGCAAACTCCCAGTCTGCCTTCAAGCTCTTGCATGTGGAAGTCACCTCTTTCTGCCAGGGAAAGAAACAGGGGGACTGTTGGAAACGATCTTTAAAGAGCATCGAGCTCAACCCCACTCAGTGCTGAGATCCCCTTTACAACGGGGCGGTCTGCGCATCCTCTCTTCTCCGTTTGCCTCCGCAGCTCGCTGAAGGAGTCTGGGCAGCTCTGGCTGGACGCCTACCTTCAAAAATAAAGCAGTGATCTCTGGAGCAGGAGGAGCAGGAGGAGAAGCTCTAGGTGCTGGAAGCCGGGGAATGATAAGGGACTACGCCACTTCAATTTGAATTTCCAGTGGGGGTTGGGAAGATGGGGAAGGGGATGGTTAAGAGCTCTGTGCCTCGTGGCACGACAATGGGGAGAAACCATTAGGTGGGTAGGGACTGCTGGATCCTTTCCTTCCGGGTTGGCAGGCACTAAACCGAGTAACAAGAAACATGAACTTTTGGAACTCAGAAAGTCAAGATTTAGCAAAATACTTAACCACTTGAGGCCCCACGCCTAAATCATACCCCAAAGGCAGAGGAGGGAGATGCCAAGCCTGGTCCTTCTCTTTCAGTAAGCTGGCCATTGTTTCCCCGGGGCCCTGTTGGAGCCAAGCTCCTAGGCCCTGCCCTCCTCCCCTCACCCATCTCATCCCACAGTGACTGGCACACTAGCAAGACAGACTGGCAGTCTGAGCCCTTGGAGATGAAGATTGAAGAGGAAAACTCAGGAATTCTCCTTTCAAATTTAGAATTCTTCAGCTTTCTTTAGCTTGACCTTACCTGTTGCTCAGGGGTGTGCTCCAAGGCATGGGCCCAGAATAGATGGGCAGCCTCCAGGAGGGGCCGCATCTCTGGGGAGGGTTTGGGAAATAGGAGACACTTCCAGCCCAGTCTTGTCTGCCTCCTTCGCCGTCCAGGGCGTGCAAAGAGAATTGGGTTCTAGCTGTGGTCAATATATCCATTTCACATTTGATACACTATGCTGTGTGTGGTTCATTAGAAACCCATTCCATGTGTTGAAAACCCCTCATTTTCCCTCCATACCTTTTTCTATCTTCACCTACAGAAAAGAACTCCGGGAGAGGCATAGCCAGGAGTTCTTCTAGTCCTCCATGGTGTTCCATGGGAAACTGAAGACATGGGAAGGCAGGCCTTTCCTTCCTCCCCCTTTGGTCAACAGATGGGGCTCCCAAGTTTCCCCTTATCTCCCCACCTACAAATTCGAAGTAATGTAACTGCAGCCAGCCAGGATGGAGGACAGAAAGGCATCTGCCAAGCTCTCACAGGGGAAACATTAAAGGGACTCACTCATTGGTAGTTGGGTCCTGCTGTAAACCTCAGTTACCTTAGGCTTTGTTGAACATAGGATTAATGCACTGTTCTCAGCCAGAGGGAGGATGATGAAAGCCACAGGAGATATGCTCATCCCATCTTGTTGTGCAAGATGCAAAAAAAACCCTTCGGAGGTGCCTCCTGGCTAGGCGTGGTGGCCATTTGGGGAGCTGAGCTGGCCCTCTCATCTTCTCTCCACTCAGGTCCAGAACAGTTTGAGGCCCTTGACCCCTCCTCCCAACCCCTTTTGGTCATCTGGTAGATTGTGGGGAGGGGCTCTGAAATGCGGCTGTGCCTACAGAGCTGGTTCCCTTCAGAGGGAGAACAGTAAGTGGGATGAGGAGAGCCTAAAACCATCTTGGAGGGAGTGGAGCCAGGGCATAGCTTGGATAATTAGGGAGATGTGGAGTAGACCATCTGGCTTACAAGATGTTATTGTGATAGGGACATAGTAAGTGCCTAATAAGTGCTTGCTGACCGACTGACTGGACTATGGGAGAGTAGATTTGAGGTCACATGACAACTTGAATGTAAGGTGTAGGGTCAGAGGGCAATGCATGTTTTTCAAGTCGGATATCCTTGAATTGGCCCTGCCAGAGAACTCTGAGGTCTGGTCTTGTTCCAGTCTGCAGCTGCCCCCCTCCCCGATTCCCCGGCTTTCTCGTTCCAGGACCCAGGTGCTAATCGGTCAGCTCTCTCCACCATCCTTTGCCTCCTTGGTTTCGGTGCTACCATTCTAGCTGGAGAAGCGGGACATGACTCAGCTTGGGGACCCCTGAATCTGTGGGGCATCTCGTGCAGCCCTGCCTAGAATACTTTTAAACACTGTGGCCTTCCCTCTTCTCAGCCTGGCCCTGTGGTCACTAGACAGTGGCCAGAGGAATGAGCCGTAGCAAAGATCTCCACCACTTTGCTGCTGAGTCCCCCTTGGTCTCATCTCCCCAGACCCCATGAGGTGGCAGTGTCTGTGCCAATTACGTTGCGGTAAAAAATCAAGGGTGGAACTCGTGCTGATGAATAAAACTAGCGAATTTTGAGTTCAAGTTCTTCCGTGAGTACCGTCACTCCTGACGTCTCTGAACACGCCAAGTTCTGGGCAGGAGCAGTGGCCGGTGACAAGCAGGGGCCTGGGGGTGGAAGTGGGCAGTCGGCCGGGAATTCATCAGCTGTTCTCCAAGTTCTGCTTGACCTCCTTTCCCCTCCCCCTCAGGCTCCCCTACCCCCACTTTGTCCTTGTACTTCCAGCCAGGATTCCTTGTGCCCACTAATTTTGGGTTGGCTTTTAAGCTTTTCCAGCCCGAACAGGAAACTTGAGCCTTCTTAGCCTTACTAAGCCTAATGCTACTTGGAATGCATAAAGCTCTCAGGCCGGGCTGCCAAGCAGGCTCCCTTCTGGCCACCCGGGTGACCACTTAGCTCTGTCCGAACCACACCGTTCTGAAGTCTGTTCACTCATCACATGCTAGGTGGAGGCAGTCCGAGAACAAAGTGCCCACCGACACTGCTGCCCAGAAAGGTCACTCTCTGCAGCACCCCCTTAACTATCAAAATGACTGCCCCAGGGTCTGGGAGGACTCCGGGTCCATCCTCTGAGGCTTCACGGGCTCTGACTGGTTTAACAAAGGGCTCACAGGCCTCTCCACGTCCTGGAGACCCGCTTGTGGCTCACTGGCTTCTGCCACTTTGGTCGGGTTTAATCCTTCACAGGCAGACCTTTCTCTGACAGCCGCCAAGGGCCCCTGGACGTCTCTAAGCTCTCCCAAGCACACCACAAATGCGATGTGAATGCTGAAAACTGGGTGAGGTTCGGGCAAGTAATCACTGCCCCACCCACAGCTTAATCATGCCACCCTGCCTTGTAAACACCAAACTGCCTAAATTCTATGCCTAAAATCAGCTTGAATGTGATGCCATCCACACCCACACATGGTTTAGGGACAGAATCTGGGAGGCAGCCTCCCCCCCAATTTAACACCCTGGTGGCCGGGGCTGGTATGGCTGGTTTGCTTTCTCCTAGGATAAAACCGGGGCTTTATTTACAGGGGGTCACCCCCTTGGAAGGCATGATCTCACCCTCCTTCAGAGAAAGGACAGAAATTATAACCGCTGCTCCCACCTTAGGTTAAGTACAAAAATCAGGGATGTGACAACTTTCTTAATTCCTTTGTCAAACTGGGGCTGGAAAAATAACTAGGACCCCGAGACAATCTCTTCCTCCACCCCTCAATCCCCAGCAACTGCCTGGATGCACAGATGCACAGTAGGGCGGGGGCAGACCTTCTCTCAAGGCCTCCAGGCACAAAGGCGGGGCAGCTGGGGCTATTTCATAGGGGATGGCGCCACCTTGTGGCCACTCCTCAGCATCCTTTGCTAACCCAGGCCAGGCTTACTGCACGGATGGCTTTCAAAGATAACCCTTTGTAGCATCTAACAATTTTATTAACTTTTTCTAAGAAGCTTAAGCAAACTCGAAAACAACTATCTTGTCCCGAGGCCCCAGGTGGGTGTGATTCTTGGGCCAAGAGAACAAGTACAAACACAAACATGGTGGTTTCTGCCTCATCCCAGATTTCCAAGGACGGGGGCACCTTTGAATCCTCTTGGTAGGCCTGAGTGCTTGGCATCAGGCCCAATGCCAAGCTAGGGACAGGAGCTGGACAGCCAGCCCTGGCTGCCTCCTCCCCCCACCCCCTCCTCCGGACGGACACCCACACCACAGTTGAAGAAACGGCGCCCTCAGCCCCAACCAGGAGACCCCAAAGGCGTGCCCAGGGCTTTATTTCCCCTTCCTGAGCTTCCCCACCGCGGCAGACTTTGCTTTCTTCTTGACAGCCCCCTTGGGCTCCGGCCCCTTCCGCTTGGCCGACGTGAGACAGCCCGTGACCTTGAAGAAGTCGTCCAGCCGGCCCTGGGTGCTGCCCTGGCGGCTCTTGCTCAGCCGCTTGACCCCATTGCGGACGCGCTCCTCGTTGAACTGCTTCTCGCCGCACATGAACTGGACCAGGCCCTCCTCGTCGGGCTCGCTCCACCTGAGCTCCACGGCCTCGGGGTCCAGCACCTCGGGCTCCAGGAAGAGGCGCTGGGCCTCCTTGTGCAGCCAGTTGTCGGGCACCGGGTACTTGTTGGGGTCCAGCCGCCGCACGATCTCCTCGATGCTCTTGTGCTGCTGGATGAGGTCCATGGCGCGCTTGGGCCCGATGCCGCGGATGCTGTCGCAGTAGTCGCTGCCCAGCAGGATGCACAGGTCCACAAACTGCTCCTGGGTGAGGCCCAGCTCCTGCAGCACGCGGCTCAGGTGGAACTCCTGGATGGGCAGCTTCTTGGCCTCGCTGGCGGTCAGGTGCCGCATCAGCACGGGGCTGCCGAAGGTCAGGCAGTCCATGTCTTCGGTGGCGGCGGCGTAGACCTTGCCGGCCTTCACCAGGGCGGCGCAGCTGGCCTCGGCCTCGCTGGGCGCCTCCAGGTAGGGGATGCCCATCAGGCGCAGCAGCTTCTTGCACTCGTCATTGTGCTGCTTGGTGACCTTCACCAGCCGCTTGGTGAACTTCTCCACCTCCTGCTCGGTGCCCACGTCCTGCGCCTGCTGCAGCTGCTTCTCAGCCTCGGCCCGCCGCTCGCTGCGCTTGGCCAGCTCGCCCGACTTGAGCTGGGGCGGCTTGCCGTCAAAGACGTACACGGGCTTGATGCCGTTCTCCACCATGCGGATGGTCCGGTAGAACATGCCCATCAGGTGGCTGGTGGCCTCGCCCTCCTCGTTCTGGAGCACGTCCCCCCCCTGCCGCACCGCGATCAGGAACTGGTAGATGCTCATGGAGGCGTCGATGGCCACCTTCCGCCCAAAGTAGCTCTTGATGTCGTTCTCCCGGATGGCGCTGGGCGCCACGTCGGCGATCAGCTTGGCCAGGCCGTGGATTCCCATGGCGGTCGGGGGCACCTAAGTGAGGGAGAGAGAGAGGTCAGGACAGACGCCGGGCTTGTTCTTGCCTCCCCCACGGGACTCCTGGCGTGGGGCTGGGCGCCTCCCAGGGACAAGCCCTCACCCTTCTCAGGACAGGGGCCACAGGCGGCCCCCACAAAGCTTCACTGACTCTCTGTGGACAGGACTCTGCTTTCCTAAGAATCCCCAAATCTTATTCTCTCCCTGGCAGGATCTAGACATTTATGTACATAGCCTCTGCTCTATTAATTTGTACATATTTATATGTTCCTAGGGCAGCCAGGAGGCACCACAGTGCATAGAGTGCTGGGCCTGGAGTCAGGAAGACCTGAGTTCAAATCTGGCCTCAGACACTCACTAGCTGTGTGACCCTGGGCAAGTCACTTCATCCTGTTTGCCTCAGTTTCCTCATCTGTATAATGAGCTGGAGAAGGAAATGGCAAACCACCCCAGGATCTTTGCCAAGAAAACTCCAAATGGGGTCAAAAAGAGTCAGACATGACTGAAAACGACTGAACAACAATAAATATGCTTCTAAGTTTTAAAATTCTCTTATGGATTATATCCAAGGGCGTGGTAGAACCAGCCTCACAAATCAGGGAGCTAAGAATGCTTTTTGCATTTTCCAATCAAATTTTAGCGCACTCAACTCACAGGTGGCCAGCTGGAGTGGGCCCTCAGGCCACAGGTTGCTGAGCCCTGGTGCAGACTTGAGAAAGCAGATTCAACTGAAAAGTGAGGCCCGGCCCATTTCTGGCTGGCATTTCCCAGCACACCCTGTGTGCCCCCAACCCATCAAAAGCTGCCAAGGAGAGAAAGCTTTCCGTGGGCCCCCACTTCAATGACAAACACTTCTGAAGTGTCTAACAAGGGCAAGAAGGAAAAGAAAGTGTGGCAGTTGATGCCCCCAAGGAACATTCACAAAGCAGACAAATACATAGAACACGCAAGGGAACACGGCCGCCTCCATAAGGAGCCTCCGGCCTCCTCCTGGGAGAGAGGACTGAAAAAGCTTCAGGGAAACGAGAGGAAAAGACTCAGGCCTCAGTTTCCCAACTCGAGAAAAGGATGAAAGGAGATGATATCACACGATTCAACAGCAGAAAGAATTCTGATTTTATGTGTAAATGACACCAAAGAGGCGTGGCCAAGGGCAGCACCTGCGAGCTCAAACCCT